TTTCCCTGATTGTAGACCTTGAAACTGAGTGATGAGCTTCACCTAAACGAGATAGATTGCGTTCGGTTGCTTGTCGCTGCAAATCAGCAGGTACGATCCCATTCACTTCTCGTTCATTTTCAAATTTGAGCATGCGAATGATGCAATTTCTTTCTTATATTTATCTTCTGCTTAGTGGGGCTTAATGGGCCGGGAGCCGCTGGAGATTCAACGCCTTGCTACTGGACTATGGTACACAGAGAGAAGAGATCTTATATCAACCCTATTTACACTCTTAAGGGTAGGTCACTCTCTAATGGTTTTTCCGTCTATTTTCTTGTATTTTTATTGGGCTGCAACATTTTTCCATTAACTGTTTCCCCTGTTGTAAGCAGGCAGTTGTGCTGGATCAGGGCCTTGAACCCGATCTTATGGCTGAAATTCAGGGGCACCTAGAAGATGTTATAAAAGCTGGGCTTAGACAACGTTTGATTACACTTATAAAGGTATTCGCAACCTAGGTTATTTAATCCCGATATATACATAATTCTTATAGATAGTTTTGTTTCATGTCTGCTATTCATCTGTGATTGCACATGTTTGCGTCTTGAAAGAAGCGTGAATGAATTCCAAAATAGTCATTAGTCTCTCAAGCGTTTCAATCCAATTGCTGTTGAAGACTTAAGTATTTCTTTGAGCTTCATCTTTAGAGAGTTGCAACTTGTTTGATACTTCATTCTAATGTTACTAAAATCTACTTGATCAGTATGCCAATGAAAGACATTGCTTTCCTTTCTTTCAACTTGTGCCCTACTTATCGTGAACAAATTGATTGCATTTTCCATGTCAAATTGTATGATTCTCCTTAATGATGCCAAATTCTATTAAAATGCAAGTCTCATAGCTGGAAGACAGACAACTGAGATGAAAGTGCAGAATTAGCCCACGTGTGGATTATATTCAACAGCTGGAAGCATATAGTTTTTCAGGGTTAACAATGCCTATTTATGTTTTAAACTTGGAGGCTGCTTTATTTGTACCAGTGAATATGTTTAACACATGACTTTGCCTTGTGATGAATTACTCCAATCCATTTAGCTGACTTTATAATGTTTTCTTATGCCTTAGTCTTTGATTATAGTTTTGAAATCAAATGATTATAAGATTTGGGATTTAAAGCTATTAGAATCTGATAATTATTTCTGATTATCCTGTTTATGTATGGAAGTTTGTGGTCTTCTGTTTGTTATATTTAATCAGAAAGATTATATAACACCTAGAAAAAAATTGTCTGTTAGCTGCTATTTTGTTTTACGCATCAGCCTCACGTATTGATAGTCATGATATTGAATCCTTTATCGCTAGGAACTCAATCGTGAAGAACCTTCTGGCTTGGGTGGACCAATGTGCGAGCGATACCTTGTTGATTCAAGAGGTTCTCTTGTTGAACGAAGGGCTGTCGTTTATAGGGAAAG